AATGTTACGTATAACGGCTAGCATCTATGTCATCGATTTCTAGCCAAAATTGATCGGATTGACTAAATTGGCAGATTGTCAAAAAATTTAGGACTAAATCGATATATACTGAATTGACATAATTGCAATATGTTTAGGACTTTTTTAGTAATTTCCTTGAGAAATTTTGCTTTTCGAGTAAAAGAAAATGAAAACCAATAAGTCGAAGGTAAGAACATTGTAAGAGGGTATTGTCATTTGGAAGCCTCAGAAGCCACTCCACACACCGCTTCATCTAGACCAAAGCTAGCAAAACCGAAAAATATAATCTACTTAGGTCTTTGAAAGAAATAATCTAGAAGTGTCTAAGTCGCAGCAGCATTATAGGAAGGCCCAAGCAAAGCTTCATGAAAGAATTGACTAGAGAACTTGAAGAGGACGAGCATCTTCGGTTAGAGAAACTCGCCATGGCACGGTCTGGACAAACTATTGACCCGAAGAATGGGCATGCAATAAACTTTGCTCCCTCCTTTTTCTAAGGCCCTAATCTTGATGAATTCCCAAGGAATAATTATTTTCCACGAGGTTGGTCATATTATTTAGGGGAATTTGATGAAGTCTTGGGATCTTCTTCAAGCAAACTGCCATCCGGCTTTTTGCTCGTGCGACCAGAGCAACAGTCTCAGAACTTAGAATATTTGAATGTTGTGTCAAACTTGCAAACTATAATCGATTTGGGCGTTGCAAAGATTTGACGATGATCTTATAACTCTTTTTCTTTCATTTCTTCAACTATAATCGATTTCGACACTCGGAAATTTAGGTAAAGTCTCGGCCTACGGTGAGTGAAAGAAGCTCTAGGTCAAATCGCAGCGTGACGTATCGAAAAAAACAAACCCTCCATCAATTAACTTAATTGGTAATGAATAGTTTAACAAGTTGTGTACTTGATGAGATGGGTAGTGAGCTAAATGAATAAAAAACAAGTTCTTCGAGCAATTGAACGATTCAACTCAGGCAATGAAGAAAATCGCTAAATTAGCCATTTTTGACGCATTCTCACCACCAGCTATGTCCCTATCCCATTTGAGCTCATTTGATTTTTGGAGCCTCTCTCTCTCTCTACTTTATACCTTGACATGGTCTTAATGAATTCTCGTGGTTAGGGAAGCGTTTTCATCGAATGAAGGTCATGACATAAGCCGTCACAACGTGGGTTTTTGCCTACTCTACTGTGGAACATCTTGGAAGGTCCAGTCGACCTCATGAGGTACTCGAGAAAGATCAATCTCTCACTCCACACGAACACAAGCCTTTCAAAATTTCCCAAGGCCTTAGGAGGATTAGGGTTTCAGCTTAAACTTCTTCCCAATAGTTCGTTGCCGGTTTAGCAGGATTAGGGTTTTAGGTGCGATTGTATTCCAACAGAAAGTTTGGAATGCAAGATCCAAATGATTAAACAGACAAGAAAAGTGAAGCACATCCAAAGGAGGTCCTATAGATGCATCCGGCGCGAAGTCGTTCTTAAAGTTATGGCGCTGGTCGAGCACGCTCTTGTTATTTCATAATTGAATTACATGAAGCAATTAACCGGCGTATATACTTTCGGTATCGATACGAGAAAACCAGTCAAAATATGGAATTAGTCAAACAAACGTGTCACAGACCCACCTGCATTCATCTTTAATATCCTAATTAAATTAATTTTTTTACTATTTTAATATATTGAATATGATGTACTTATCGAAATTCGTTCTGCTGATGCAACACTAGCGTCAACAATATGTGGACGATCCTCCAAACCCTAAACTGCCCTTATGATTTAGTCAGCGTGCCTAATTATCGGTTGGGATTATTAGCTAATAAAAAATCTTCTCATTATTGACAATAGTTTATTTTTGAATATTTTCGTGAACGATGAAAATATTTTTTAACCATATTTTTTTATAAGCAATTCAAACAATCATTCTTAGAAAATATTTTTAAAAACGTGAATTTTCTGCCAAACAAACGAACCCCTAGAGTTAGCGCTCCTTCTCTACTTTATCACTTTGATCTTGCAAAACACAGACCAAAAACTCTCGTGGTAATACTTTTGGGAGCCCTCCTATGCTCAAGCTAGACCGTGATTGTAAGAGGAAAACTGACCAAGTTTTGGCTCAATGCATGCAATTTTTCACTTACCAGTAAGAATGAAAAGAGTGTTATTCGTACCTATATTTTATTCCTTTTTTCCTTTTAATTTTTTTCCCTACGTTGACATGCTGCCCACTCAGCACCACATAATATCAAGACGCCAAGTTGGATCTCCTGCAAAACCGAAAGGACAACATTGTGCCGGACAGATAATGATTAGCATTTGATTGCATTTTGTTTTTCCGAATGTTTATGATTTGATTTGAGTCAACATTGAAGACTTTTGGTGTAATTTTCCGTACTATCTTATGATATGCGACTGTTAGATTTCCTTGGTAGAGATCCATCACAAGTTTTGAATAAATTGTTCTACATGCAAACTTGAGTTGGTTTACCATATTTGGTGCAGGATGATGCGCTTATTAAAGTACTATGGTGAGCCTGGGTGGGTTGCAGGTAAGTTGAGGGAGAGGAAGAGGACGACCCTGCCCTTTTGGATGCCCATGGCGGAGAGGTGGGAGGCGAGGGAGTTGACAGAGCGCTAGAGCTAGGGGAAGGGAAGGTGGAGGCCGGAGTAGGCTTCAATGAAGGTGGTGGAGCCGCGGGGGGAATCGGAGGAGATGGAGGTGGTGATGTCAAGAAAGGTGTTGGGGGAGAGGGGAATGGGCTTCTGCTTGTTATAGAAGGTGGAGTTGGAGCTGCAGAAACTGCTTCTAGGGTCAATTTGGAGTGAGTTGGTCGTCATTGGAGATGAAAGGTGACTTCTTGAAACCACGAGCTTCAAGACAATCTCTCTCTCTCTCTCTCTCTCTCTCTCTCTCTCTCTCTCTCTCTCTCTCTCTCTCTCTCTCTCTCTCTCTCTCTCTCTCTCTCTCTCTCTCTCTCTCTCTAAGATTGGTATGTTCAGGACTATAGAGAAAATAGTGAACGATAGAGAGAGAATGAGTTTTAAAGGCCAGGTCATCATCCAAATTGGACTTTCTTTTGTATAAGAAAGCCACATATGATAACTATTCTGTTCCAGAAAAATTTCCTAGAACATAAATAGATTTTTCTATTTCTGTTCCTAGGACGAGTTTCTGAGGAAAGAAACCCGTTTGATAACGACAAAAAATTTCTATTTCCGGAACAGAAACCCGTTTAATAATAGCATAAACTTTCTATTTCTTGGAACATAAATCCGTTTGATAACAACACAAATTTCTATTTCCTGGAACAGAAATCCATTTTTTTAAAAATGGTCTCTAAAATGAAAATCAATCAAAATACCAAAACCCTAGTAAAGCCCTAAAGGCTTATTCATTCAAAGGATCGTGTTGTTTTTTAGGGTTTTAGAGTTTTTTAGGGGTAAAGACCCCTTATAGGGGTTAAACCCCTTTTAGGGTTTTTTAGGAGTCTTCAAAAATATCATTTGGGCACTTCAAAAAATTTAAATTTCATACAAAGTGGGTGGCCACAGATATTATAAGCCATTCTGTGAACTTTTGAAATTTCTGGAAATTTTTATGAATTTTTCTGGAATTTTTCAATTTTTATGGATTTTCTGAAAAAAAAATTGAGATTTTTCTGAATTTTCCGGATTTTCTAATTTTTTTATGAATTTTCTGTGTTTTTTTCTGAATTTTCTAATTTGTTTATGATTTTTCTAATTTTTTTACAATTTTTTTTATTTTCCCGCGGGAATGAACCGGACCGAACCGGTTCGGACCGGTCTGACCAGGTCAGACCGGGGCCAAATTTAGGAAGAGATGTGTTTTGAAGAGAGAAGACAGGTTCTTTTAGAAATGATTTTCATTTCTCGTCCAGAAACAGAAAATCTACTTTTTTTTGTTCTGATTTTTGGTCCAGAACTAGTTCTAGAACAAAAAGTTGTTCCAGAAATAGAAAAATGGAATTGCGTTATCAAACGGATTTCTGTTCCAAACCTATTCTCAAGAACAGAAAATTAGTTCTGAACAGATCAGAATGGTTATCATGCGCGCCCTAAACATTTTTGTACTAGAGACACTTAAGTGATTGTTTTTCCACTAATATGATAATATACTAATCATTCAAAATGTTTTAGCATCGAAGTGAGTGCCGTATGAAAGTTATGACACTTCTAATATCATTTTCTATACACAACATCATAACTGACCTATGACTCATTAGTTTAAACTTTTGAGTGATTGTGTGTTCAATAGGACTTGTTGATTTGCTTTGGCTTTTTTCTCTCTCTACTTAATCAATCCAAATAACACTATCAAACTTTGCTGCGCAGGGAATCAAATGAAATGACCTACTACAGTTGGCCTTTGCCATGTGAGAGTACAAGGGCCGAGCGTGGCTATTGGACTCACGATGCCATCATGCCGAAGTTTAAATGGGGTTTTAAATAGGAACATACATTCATGCATCCGGTGCATGTGATCCAATTCCATCACAATCCTTACGTAACGTGGGCCCCATTAGGGTCTACACTATGCAATACCTAAGATGAGAATGGAGAGGAGTGGGAGTCCCGGCGGCTTGCAAATGCATGTGAAAAAGACGAGAAATAAGAGAAATTATAAATGGGACTCCTTTCCATCTAACTCCGATTGCTTTACGTAGCCTTGGAGGGGGCGGGTGCGTGGGGTTAGGTTGCGTCCTTCAGTGATGATGTGGATAAGGGTTCTGTCGTTGACTCTGAACGGGCAACATGGCAAGTTGATGTACCTTATCATATCTCTTTCCCTCGAAAGTAGCAACTTTGTATATCATATTCTGCGAGAAACGTTTTTCAATGGTGAGGAATCAAAAGATTAGATGCTTCCTCGATGTTCAAACGTCCTTCCTTTTTCCCCCAGGGAAAAATAAAAGGAAATGACTCTGGTGAGTTCACACGTTTGATGTTCACACTCATCTCCTGCCCCATTGCACTCGAAACATGAAAGCTTCCTCTCCGTGAAGGCGCTGAGCAGCTTCCCTAGAGAATACTTTCTTATAGTCTATTCCTCTCCACAGTGTCAGTCGCCACTCATCTCATCTCTCACGTTTTCGTCACTATTTCATTTTTTTTTATAGCCTGCTCGATCCTTTGACTGAAAGATTACGGGCTCTTTCGCGGCAGTTGCCAGTTTCTTCCTGATTTTTCCAGATTAAAAAACTGACCAATCCTTCGCCATTCAATCTTATTGGGCGATGAATGTCCGACCCTGGCATAAAGAGACGAATTCCGCTCTTTCTTGAGAGTGACTAGAGGTGTGCCGGTAGGGAATTCCTGGGGCACGGTGAAATCACGACCGAAAGAGGAAGCGAGCCAGGCCTCGCCACACAGGTTCAACTTCAACCTCAAGCACAGGAGAAAAACTTTCATTGACCAACGGGTGACGTGTGTGTGGATGCGTGTCCATGTCGAGGGACGCAATTGAAGTCGTCAAATTCCCCAACGTTTCATAAAGTCAACTCCTTGGAACGACGCAGGCTTTTGGCGTGTCCGGCGTTCTAAATTCCCGAGGCTTTTTATTGCTCCAACCCGTGTTTTTGTCCGACCTAAAGACGACCCACTTCTCCTTCTTCTTCTTCCTCCTCCTCCTCTTTCTTGTCTCTCTGAGCCAATTCTTTTCCCGGAGAAATTCATAGCTCATCAGTTATGAAGCTCCAGCTTTTATTTCCGAGCTGCTTTTCAGCTTCCAACGCCATCATCGATGGAGGCATGGATGGTATGTTGGTTTCGATAGATCTTGTTGTCTAAGTAATCGATATGATTTCGTGCTTTTAGGGAGATAATGAACTGGCTTTTTGACCTTTTCGCTTCTTCTGATCAGGAATAGATGGGTTGACTCCTCCGAGTTTCCGAGTGTTCTCTTACAAGGAGATGAAGGCTGCCACTATGGGATTTCACCCTTCGAACAAGATCGGAGAAGGTGGCTTCGGATCTGTGTTCAAGGTACTAATTTTGCTCTTTTCCTGTCAAGAACTGCAGATGGATACGCACAAAATTAGTTGCATCGAGATTCTATTTTATGGTTGGTAAAATGGCGATGTTGATCAATATGGGACTATTGTACAGGGCCGGCTTCAAGATGGCACCACTGTGGCGATAAAAGTGCTCTCTGTTGAGCTCGAGTCGATGCGAGGCGAGCGGGAGTTCATCTCGGAGATCGCGGCTCTCTCTCACATCAAACATGAAAATCTGGTCAGCCTTCGAGGATGTTGCATCGAAGGAGCCGATCGGTTCTTGGTCTATGAAAACATGGAAAATAACAGTGTTGCACACACCATACTAGGTAAATCAATAGTAATACCACCCGTTTGTGTTTGATTGAGCTGTGAATGAATTATTTCTTTGAGGCTGGGTTGTAAATGTTTCGTGGGCATTTGACAGGTGAAGATCAGAAGAGGACGAGATTCAATTGGGAGGCGAGGCGGAAAATTATGCTCGGGATAGCACGTGGGCTCGCGTATCTGCACGAGGAGGTGGAGCCTCACATTGTGCACAGAGATGTCAAGGCGAGCAACATACTTCTGGATCGAGATTTCAATCCAAAAGTTTCCGACTTTGGTCTGTCTAAGATTCTTACTGGGAGTATTACTCACATCAGCACTCGAGTTGCCGGGACATTGTAAGTTGAAGAACTTAGATTGCTATCTACTCTTTAGTCAAATTCACCTTCAACTATACTATTCTCCAAACATTAACCCAAAGTCATATTATTTCCTGATGAAATTTCTGATTGAATGTGAATTGCAGAGGTTATCTTGCTCCTGAATATGCCATTAGTGGCCGCTTGACAAGGAAATCGGATGTCTATAGTTTCGGGGTGTTGCTGCTGGAAATAATCAGCGGTCGACGAGTCATGGACTTTGACTTGGAGTTCGGAGAACAGTACCTTGTTCAAAAGGTAGCAATCATTCCTACGCCCTGCTCTTTCTCTGCCTTCATCAGGTTCTTGGATTTGGGCAAAAGGAACATGTATATACCATTAAACTTTATCATCAGTAAGCATAATGAGCTAATACCATTTTAGATAAACAGTGAAAACATACTCTCGCAAGATATACACTACCAGTCCATGCGCAGTTCTTTGATTCCTGAAATTTACCTGATCAATCGCAGAGCAAACCAGCCTCGTATTTTTTCGTGTGCCATCAAATTGAATCCCATGAATTCCTTATAAGATATTAAAGCCATTCTGCCCATTAACTCAGCCAGTTTAATCACTGAAAATCTGCTGTTGTTTTTCCTATAGAAAGTCAAAATGTTCGGCAAACAGGCAAAGTTTGAGACCAACAAGTGAAACTGAGAAGGAATCTCATGTTTTTATATTTGGGCAGGTATGGGAAGCGCACAAGCAAGATGAGCTGCAAAACATAGTGGACCCGGTTTTAGGTGTGAACGACCACCAGGGACAGGAGGCCGTCAGATTCATCAAGGTGGGCCTACTCTGCGTCCAAGAAGCAGCGAGGACCCGGCCCAGAATGTCATCGGCGGTTAAGATGCTGACCGGCGAGGTCGACATCGACGACATGAAGATCACAGAGCCCGGGCACATCACGGACCTCACGGACATTCACATCGGTTCTAACAAGAATTCGACGCAGAGCATCTTCTCCAAGGATTCGGATTCCTCTGGGACCGCCAGGACCCCCAAAACGGGGGTGTTTTGAGCGGCATTTAGGGTTGTGTTAGGATGCTGTCAATGTTTGGATGAGGACGACCGAGGAATTTGTCCTAGGCAAATCATTGAAATCTAGGATTTGTAAATAGGAGGTTGATTGGATGTCCCCAGGAGTGAATGTACTTCCACGAAGTGAAATCATTGAATCATTATTATTTTTTCTTTAGTTTGGTTGACATTGGAGTCTTTTTTATCCTTGAGGTCTCTCAGGTGATTTCAAATCCGACAGCAATACTTGGTCAATCAATGCTCATGAATCCCCGTGTACATATTCTTCGACGGCGTGAACTATTGATACGCAGTTTTGTATCTTTTATTCACTGCAATATGGACAAGATTTCAGTCTCTTTTGCGTACGAGGTGAAAAGATCTGTCTTAGATTTTCTTGAGGGAGGTTAGTCGTCTGGTCAGCGAGGGAGGGATAGAGAGAGAGGGATTAGTTGTTGGATAGCGATGATAACATACTTTATTCATTCTCTTCAGAAATGGACGCGTAAGGAGTGATCTAATTCACCGAACCTCACGTAAGGAGTGATCTAATTCACCGAACCTCTATGTTTAGGTAGGAAAAACCAATTTTTTCTTTGCCTTTCTTGAATTCTAAAAGCATGAACATGACATATTTGTAATGTGGTTCGGGAACTTTTTAATTTGTTTAATGTAATCTCTGAACTTTACTCCATCGTATAATGTGATCTCTGAACTTTTAATTTGTTTGATTTAGTCCCTGAACTTTTGGTAATTGTTCAATTTAGTCCCTGAACTATATGAAAATATTCAATGTCGTCCATAAACTTGAATTAATGAAAAATATAGTTTATGAATTAAATTGAACATGTACCAAAAGTTCAGGAATCATATTGAAAAGTTTATGAACTAAATTACATATTGAACTAAAATTCAGGGATCACATTATACATTGGATCAAAGTTTAAAAACTATTTGTGTCATTATCCCTAAAATCAATAAGGTAGGGTGCTAGGCAAAAATAAATGAGATACGGATGGTTTGGTGGGGCCTACCTATATCTATGGAAGAATATACACCGCTGTCCGGAAAATTATAAAAAATCCTCCCCAATTTTGGGGTGATACATATTTGCTCATAAAATTTCAATCGTTGCATAGTATTTCCATGTACTTTTTATGTTACTTTGAAATTTCATTATATTTTTTGTTAATGTGTGTAAGGCACGTGACTTTTAAGGGATATATATGTATTCTCATATCATTTTTTAGTAAATCTCTATTTGACCATTGATTGCTAATAAAAATGAAGAAATAACGAAAATGGAGGAAATTAAATTAACTAAAATATCAATATAAAAATAAATATCATTAATATTTCAGGAACGGGAAACAAGATTAAGTAAAGGAAAATAAGGCCTTAATGAAAAAAATGTTGAATTACAGAAATTATACTCATCATGTATTTTTAAATGGATAATTAATGTGAAAAATTGATTGATCAATAAAAAGTTATTAGAGAATATCACCTTTATTCCACTTAATAATCTCATTTGATGTGTTGAGGACATCATTTCCGTTTATGATTGTTTTAGATACTTTTATCATCAGTCATTCTTTACATTGATTAAACTTTTAAATATACATAACCAAGTTTTGTAACTTTTCCGTTTTTTTTTATTGAGGCCTTTTCCCTTTTTATCCAATTTGTGTTAACTCATTTTCTTAAAATATCTTTTTTAGTTGGATTGTAATGGCTATTTTTATCAAATTTTAACAATTTTTTGTTGTTTAGTATAATTGTAGATATTCATTTTAGTTATTAGTAGTATATCAGTTTTTTTTTCTGATTTTTCCATCTTTTACAATAGTTGATGATAAAAGAGAGATTTTCTTCGAAAAAAGAGATGAAAACATACTTTTGCTCCTTAAGGTCATGTGCAATTAATATGCTAAAGGAAAAAATAAACAGAGGGTTAATGGCTATAATAAAATTGAAGTTCATCAGACTTTTGGATAATAGTAGAAAGCTTGGGGGCAAAAGTATACTACCCTTAGGTTGTGTTTGGTCGTCTTGATTTCTAGCTAGAATAAGATTAGATATGATATGATATGAAATCTAGGGATTTTGCTATACCATATTCATTGTTTGGTGAATCGCAGTAATAAGCCAAATATTTTCATATCATATCATGTCCATTGTTTGGTATTTACGCATATTGGTATAATTGAACCTATAAATGCACAAATAGAGATTGTATGCTAAAGGAAAAAATAAACAGAGGGTTAATGGCTATAATAAAATAGAAGTTCATCAAACTTTTGGATAATAGTAGAAAGCTTGGGGGCAAAAGTATACTACCCTTAAGTTGTGTTTGGTCGTCTTGATTTTTAGTTAGGAAAGGATTGGATATGATATGATATGATATGAAATCCAGAGATTTTGTTATACCATATTCATTGTTTGGTGAATTGCAACAATAAAGCCAAATATTTTCATATCCTATCATGTCCATTGTTTGGTATTTACGCATATCGGTATAATTGAACCTAAAAATGCACAAATAGAGATTGTAAAAAGCTCTCATAATTCACAGCCAAATCTAGCAAGAGAGAAAATATTATCATTCACTTTTGTGATTACGAAAAATATAGTACTTTGACTTTCTCGCTACTTTCGTGAAACTTCAACATAAACCATAAAGTTATTGAGGAAAAGGAGTTTCGACTCTCTTGCTACTTTCGTGGACTTTTGACATAAACAAGAGAGTTACGAAAGAAAAGAAGCTTCGACACTCTTGTCATTGTCATGGAGTTTTAACATGAACTAAATAACTATGGAGAAGTCGTGAAGCTTCACCTTTATCCCACCTCCCATATAGAATAATTTTATCCAAGCTATATCTCCATTATATTCGACTTTATCCTGTCTTGGGTATGAATCAAATACATGATAGATAAATATGATAAATGTTATCTTATCCTGACTACGAAACGTAACCCTAAGGTATAATGGGGTTTTGTACAATTTCCCTAAATCTTTGTTACAAAATTACACTAAACCAAAGGGATAACTAAATGTTGTCCAATTACTATGAAACTATCAAAGGATTTGGGTCTCTCGAGCCTCCACTTCATTTCATTTGCCTTTGAGAGAAAATGGATCCGAATGAATACCTTGGAGTATCATCTCCGTAAGAGTTTTTCTGATGTGAGCTACATTAATTGATATTGTAATTTACCATTTTGTGAGGTTGATCGAATAAGGTTAGATATAAAGTTTCTTAATTAGTCTAATATGGGGCTGGCTAATATGGGCTGAGTAAGGCCCGGCCCGTGACGAGAGGGCCTAGCTTAAAACTCTATAAATAGTGCTCAAGTCCCTCCTCTAACCCTAATGCACAAATTATCTCACATAAGGGGTAAACGCCAACTATGAAAGGCAGTCTCATCAAGCTAGTGATACAGAAGGTAATAGAGGAGAAGACTTGCACTGAGGATTGCTACTGTTCGGCATCAAGAACGATGGATTCCAAATCAGGTGCACAAATTCATTTTACTCTATTACTGTATTCTAGATTCTAGCTATGGAGATCTTGGGTATCGTTTTACGTGACCATCAAATGGTATCAGAACCGATGGTTGATTGGTGGGCCTCTCAATTTGTCCCGGTGTTTGGTGAATATCTCAATAAAGAAATCTCATGATCAATGCTTGTTTCGGGTGGAAATTACCATCACGGCTGGTCTGGTGAGAAGTAACCATGGACAGTTGGTCTGGTGACGCGAGATAGAGACCATGGGTGATGCAATCCCAAATTAGCAGTTGATAATGGTTGTTGTGCATAGTTGTGGGTGCATGACAATGACTTGGAGATTCAAGTTGAGTTAAGCTGATGTAGAAGAATACCTAAATTAAGGGGGAGCAAACCTAACACTGAGCTCACATGTGAGGGGAAGATTGTTGAGATATACGTGTGAGTTGTGTTAGAGAAATTCCACAACGGATAATTGATGTGGTATTTAGCAGTTAATATATCATAATTGACTTATAACTCATTGGTTTAAGCTTTTCAATGAGGGTGGATCCAACTGGATATGTTGACGAGCTTGGATTTGAGCTCTCTCTTGGCGATCTCCCAAGGTGAAGGTATCGGGCTTTTACTGCGCATTCCCAACAATCTCCCCCTATGGGAATGGAACATGGTCTCTCGGAACACATCGGCTTTTGACAATCATGATTTATTTGTTAAGTTGGTGATGCAATTCATGGCTGTTGACACCAATAATTAATTAGGTCGTCGATAATAAAAATAAAATTAAATTAGGGGATATACAAAGCGACAAGGATAAAATACATAAGGATCATTGAAGGGTGACATAAGCCCTAAAAAGTTGATTACAGCAGCATACAGCTGGCAACCACTAAAATGTCCTGGCAAAAAATTTAAGAATTTGAAATTGAAAAGACTGGAGTCGTAGAGTAGATAAGTGCTACCCGAGTTTTCGTACTGTAGATTGCCGATGAAAATTGTTAAGAGAAGACCAGGCCGTCGAAGTTGTTGATAAGAAAAGAGGCATGTGTTTCTATGTGCAGTTAGTGATGGTTTGACACGGAAGGACGAATGTTAGAATAGAAAAGAGACCGATGACGATTATCTCTTGGGAAAGGATAGGTGTCATGACAAAGAAGAGATCGATGACTGTTATCTCATGGGAAGGACAAGTGTTAGAATAGAAAAGAGATCGATGACGGTTATCTCATAGGAAAGGACATATGTCAAAATAAAAAGAGATCATTGACGATTATCTCATGGGAAAGGACAGATGTCAAGACAAGGAAGAGATCGATGACGGTTACCAACACCAAAGGACAGGTGTCAAAGCAAAGACAAGGTCAAATAAACGGTTATCGACAGATGTCAGAAAGATGAAGGAAAAGATAATATCGACGACAGTTAATGGACAGGTGTCATAAAAATAAACGGCGAAGATGAGATCAACGGTGGTTATTAGATATGATCTGGCAAATGGCATTAGAAAAACGATTATCATGCTAACATTATAAATGTCATCCGATACCAGAAAAAGCCCCCCCCCCCCCCTCCACTGCGAACATACAATTAAAATGTTATCTTTCAATTATATTTACTTTCCTGCACTGTATTTTCAATTCCCTTAGTTGTAGCCATTTACATTTC